GTCCGTTTCTGTTTGGTCTCGGGTGCATGTTCCTGTCGATAATTATTCTTCTCTCTCTTTCTCTCTCACGGTGTTTCGTTTCGTTATTCGCACGGCTTTGTTCGCAGATTTCGCATCATGTCCAATCGTCGTATAGTGCTGGGGATCCAATGATTTGGGTCCGTAGGGCAGGGGGCATGATGCAGGGTTTACTTTCGGATTTTGGGCACTGTTTAAAGTTTAACTTTAAAGGGCTCCTTAGGAAGAGCGGTCAGCGTGTACGAGCCTCCCTCCCACAACTAGCCAGAGACAGTCTTCCCCCGGCCTGCACGCAAAGCCTCATTCGTCGAGGAGTGCTTCATTCTCGCGCCCGAGATGCTAGTACCTCTGAAAGGTCCGGTATGCAGGGCTCAGGGTTTGTGATTGCAGCATGGGTGTCACCCTCTGTGGCTGCCATGCTTCTTGCTACATGGGCTTGAAGTGCACGGAGTCATGGGCACTGGCCTATAAGATCCTGGACTTCTCCTTCGTTCTAGAACATGAAGCCGGCCTCACTCTCATCCCAATGCTGAGAGCCCTGCCCGTGGCTTTAAAGACCTACCAGATTAAGGAAATATATCTTAGAAACCACAATAAGGAACCCTGAAAAGGTAGGTCTTATCGGCTACACGTGAATCCTACACCCCAAACTCTGATCAGGCCCTTGGCTCGCAAACCTCTACCTTGTCACGAGCCACGCCTGGAACGCCCTGTGCGCGAGACTTGCTTGCAGCCGGCTTCGGGTGCTGCAGCCCGGTACTGGTCGTTTAGCGTTTGGAGTGCACTGACCCTATCATTTCTCGGGTTTTTGACCTAGGGTTGAGTGTCAGACGTGCTTCCCTGCTCCTGCCTCCACCCATCCTATCTAGGATGGGAATAGCTTTCGACCGGCCGGCAAACTCAACACCATAAACCTTAAAGTGCAGTAAGAATGTTGACGCTTGGTACGCGGGCCTGACTAATTGGCAAGAGTATGTATTCCTTAGGGCTCCTACTAGTATTGTTCGAACATGAGCTGCCAAAGCACCTCGTGTAATCATTGAGGCCTATATAGCCTAAACCCCAAGCCCTAGTAGGCCAACCCTAAACCCCTAAACCCCTAACACCCTAAAACCCTAAACCCCTAAGCCCCTAGACCCTAAACTCTAAACCCCACACCCCAGTAGGCCCCGAGAAATCCTGTGCCCCGAGCTCCAAGCTCTCAAAGCTCGGGCCTTCTGGCCTAAACCCTAAACCCTAAACCGTGGAAGGCGTGCCTGAAGCCCCAGGGTCTCAGAAACTCGAGTCGAACGGATGAAAGCTTGGTTTAGGGCCTAGGGTTTTTAGGGGTTTCTAGGGTTTTCAGGGTGTTGAGGGCTTTTAGGGTGTTTAGGGTTTCTAGGGCTTTTGGGGTTTGTACGGTTTTAAGGGTTTCTAGGGCTTCCAAGCACTACTTCACCCTCTTCAGTTCCAGAGCCCGGCTTTCCGAATGTGTTCAAGCCGAGACCGCTCTAAACCCGAAACAAACAAACAACCAAGCAAGCAAGCAAGCAAACAAACAACCAAGCAAGCAAGCAAACAAACAAACAAACACACACACTGACACTGACACACACACACACACTGTGACTGCCAAAAAACATCAACACGCTATGTGCCAATCCAAGGCGCGAAGGCGACCCACTGATGAATCTCGGTACCAACTGTACTGCATAGGTATCGGCATGCAGCGGTTTAGCATCCGGGGGGGGGGGGGGGGTTTGCAGGTTTGTAGCTTTGTAGCCAAAAAAACACGTGCAATCTTTGGTTGTTGTCACCACGACTGTCCTTATTACCGGTGCAGCATCCCACAGGTTTCTGGGTCTTTAGATTGTGCTGCTCCCGATGCGTTCTTTGTCGTTGTTGTTAGCCGTTGCTACTGCTGCTGCTGCTGCTGCTGCTGCTGCTGCAGCTGCTGTGAGAGTTTCTGATTTCACCATGCTCCTTACCGCTGCTCCTCATCTCTTTCTTGGTATTCTGACTCATGTAGTAGTAATGCTAACCTTTTTCTTGTTGTTGCTGGTGCTGTTTAGTACCATTGTTGTTTGCTCGGGTTGTCATGACGGGTTGCCATTACCCTCAATTTGTGGACGCGCAGTCATGAGTCATAAGTCTGATCAAGACAGGGTGGAGGCTGCCCAACTCAGGCGAGAGATCATCATGCTGTACAGCCGGGTGCCACGAGCAACGCAGCCGTGAGCCTAGCACAGGGTAGTAGCCTTGTAGTCGGGTAGTCTATGCATGATTGTGAGTGCGAGAGGGGCCCGTGTATAGAATCCAAAATCATAGGATCTTTGCGAGAAGGAGAGTTGAATTTCTGAAAACCCAGTTGTTGATGTGTTCCTACATGCAAAACACCCACGGGTGGATGTCGCTGTGGATTGCCGAGGTGGACATTTCTGAGCACGTTTGCAATGTGCTGACCTTTTCCTGTTGTTGATCGTATTGAGGATTATAGTTCCTATCTCGTTCATCTCTTGCTTCATCACACATATACATATGCATGCATATGTAGATGTGTAAAAAAACATGCAGTTAAGAAGATGCTCATGCCGCCATACAAAAAGCATGGGCTCGTTTGAGCAAAGCTTGATTGTCATCCCTGTGGCGAAGGGTTCGCATAAGTGGGTTTCGGAGTTGACTCCCACTGGTATCTTGAACTTGGTTCCTAATCTCCTTCAGAAATCAGGAGCACCGAAAAGTTTCGAATTGGAAGGATCCCGAATGTGACGCAAGAGTCCAAAAGTCCAAAGGTTCTCCTTGGCAGCCCTCGGGCTGGACGCCGGTACCCAGGAGCGGGGAAGACCCTGTCCGGGTGCCTGATTTAGAGCTCAAGGATGCTAAAGGCTGCGATGTGGGACTTGGGTTCAAAGTTTGAGCGTGTTGCAGGGGCTTGGGACTGTTGCGTAGTATTGGGGAGACCCCTTAGAGGATACCCTTCTGAACCCTACTTCTGACTCTCTTACAAGGGACCTCATTGAGAGGGTCTATGTCCCCAAGCTTCCCCCTAATCCTAACTCCCGCATGCTTCGTGCAGAGCCTTTGCAAACCATACCGTCCATCAACGTTCAAGTGAAAAGAGAGTCCGATCAGTCAAGAGTCTAGAACTCCAAACCTACTCAAAAGTCTAAGAGCCCCATGGTTCTAAACCGTAAACTCCCTAATTAAGCCCTCTAAACCCCTCATTCCTACACCCTAAACCCCTAAACCCCAAGCCCCCAAACCCCAAAACCCTGAACCCCCAACTGGAAAGGCGCTGCCCCGCCTAGATTCCCGAAATTCCGTAAAGTCCAGATCAGGAGCACTCCGACACGGCTCTTAGGAGGCGCGCTGTGGCCGCGGAGCGCTATTTCCAGGTATCCCCGCTCAGGTTTAGGGTTTTCGGGGTTAGGGGTTTTCGGGTTTAGGGGTTTTAGGGGTTTAGGGTTTAGGGGTTTTAGGGGTTTAGGGTTTAGGGGTTTACGGTTTTAGGGCTTTAGGGTTTTAGGGTTTAGGGTTTTAGGGTTTAGGGTTTTATGGTTTCGTGTTTAGGGCTTGCGGTTTTAGGCTTAGGGTTTCGGGTTTGGGGTTTTCGGGTTTAGGCTTGGGGTTTAGGGTTTAGGGTTTATAGGGGAATTTAGAGTTTAGCGTGGTATGGCGGTTTGGCGATCCGGGCTCGGTGGCTTCAAGCTACAAGGCGAGTTACAGGGTTTGGTGATTCAAGCCGTGCTAGGTTTCTTCTTCCTTGGCCGATTCCAGTTTTACCCAGAGGGTCCGAGTACCCAAACAGTAAGGTTTTAGAGTTTTAGGTCCCAAAATCCATACTCTGAGTGGTTTTGGGGACCTTGAAACCCTACTATTTGGGTACTTGGACCCTTAGGGTTAGAGGGCGGCGTATGTGTTGCGAATCGGCCGATGCGAGGTTGTGGGTATGATTTCAAGCGTGGGTACAGGTATTGTAGGATCCTGATTAAGAAGCCCCTGGGTCCCTTCTTTGAGTTCTTTACATGGAATCCTTGTAGTTTGGGGTTATAGGGCCAGGGTTTCTTCATCGGGTTCCTGTGTGTTGATTTCCCGGGTTTCGGGTTGTCTTGGCTTGAAAGATTTCAGGCGACTCTACCCGAGCAGTTAGTTTCACCACGATGGGAGCTTTGGAGCTTGTTCAGTCATCATGATTTTTGTCGCAAGTTGCGGTAAAAAGCATCCGGTGTTTGGGGGGGGGGG